GTCACGGTGGGCGGCAGCACAGGCTCCAGCTCCGGAGGTGGTGCCGTTTCCCCGAGACCAGGGAAGCCACTGAGCATGTGAAGCACACCCTCCGTTGCCAAGAGGTCTGCAAGGACGATGGTGGCGCCTCCTACCGCCACATTCCCTGGGGTGGGCAGGGCCATGGGGCTTGCCACATTGCAACAGGTGGACCAGCCTGAGTGCATGCAGCTGGACAGAACCACCCCGGTCCAATAGTTGCCCCTGGTGTCAAACCTGGCCCGGACGATGTGACGGGCACCAAGCCCCCGCTCAGGGTGTCGACGGAGGGCGCTGCCTCCAAGTCTGCCAGCTTCAGCTGGCCTGGTACCAGGGTGTTCTCGAGCAGGGGCTTGAGGAAGACGGGGTCCTGGAGTTGCCCCTCTGTCAGGAGGCCAGATCCAAGGGCGGAAGCGAATGCCGCATTGGTGGGTGCCAGGACTGAGAAGGCGGAAGACGTGTATGTGGGGTGTAAACATGGTGAGATGAGGTAGTCCAACGGCGTGGGATCTCTTGCTGTCCACAACCTCAGGAAGGGCAACACGTCTGGAGGGCTGCATGGGGGGAGAGCCCATCAACCCATGCACATAAGCAGGCTCCGTTGTCCGGAATATGTAAGCCCTTTCATGGAGCAATCCCAACATCACGTCACCGAAAGCCTACCGGTGACGCTGGACCCCGGGATGTTACCCAAGCCTGCTGTGCGCACTGAGGGACCGATTGCGCGATGACGCCGCCAGCAAGCCCACTCCGTCCCTGCAACAGGTGTGGGGCTCTCCGAGATGCCAGGGGTGTGTTGCAGTCTCCCTGGGGCTTGATGAACGAAAGCTAGCTTGCCCCTGTCCGAGGCAGTCGATGAACCCCTAATACCACTTCGGCATGTTCTAAGCTCTCTGGTGTGGTGCCCTGGTGCTGCGCAGGACCACTCAGGGATGAGCTCAAGACAACTGCAAGCTGAGGAGTGACGTCTGCGCCTGAGAGACTCGCAAGTCCAAGCCTGGAAGGCACTCTGCTAATGTGACCTCGACCTTCCTCAGATGGGGACTGTGAGAGTAGTCACCTCTGCAGCCTGCCCTGTTCATGCCTCTGGCATTGAACTTTATTCTCATCGATGCTGTTGTAGCTTTACAGTGACCAAGATGGACAGGTGTACAGTGGGCGTTGCATGAAAGGGTGGAAGTGATGAGGAAATCAAAATTGGGTACTAGGTCAGGGAAGGTGGAGGTCGTGGGCAAAAGGGGGTGCTCCGGATGCATGGTGGGTTTGAGAGGAGTAAAGTATAATCTGACAGCCGATGGGGCAACAATTGCGTGTGAGACAGTGAAGTCAGAGGACTCCATCGCGCATGAAGCAAGAGAGCCTTCCGAGGCCCTGGAACACTCGAACAGCATCCTGCAGGATCCTTATATTTCTCTGACTAGGCAGCATTGGTTATTTGCCGTGCCAGGGCCCACTCTAGCCCAGACTCCCCAGACTCCAGATCGAGGTCAGCAGCGTCCTCGGAGTCCCTCTCCTCCGCAGCAGTAAGGCAGTCAACCGACTGCAGCTTGCGGAGACTGTTGAGGCCTGCACATGTGTTGGTTGCCAGAGGGAGTGACAAGGGGTGAAAGGTAAGGATGTACAAGGCACGCACCATGGCAGGCGATTGCAGCCATATTTCAAGGGCATCTTGAAACTGCTGTCGTGGGAAACTCTCACTGGCCCCGCTCTCCCAGCTCTACTGTAAAGTTGCCAGATCCCACCATCAGCTCACCATTCTGGTCTGAGGTCGCCACCACCGACGTCTGCGCGGCATTGAAGGCGTCTGCAGCCGCCTGGGCGGCAGCGACGTTGCGCATGGTGTCATCCAAATCGCTCTGCTCGATCACCTCCCCCTCATCATCATACATGGGAATGTCCTCGTCCTGTATTATGGGGTGCATTTATGGCCCGTAGGGCAGACAGCACGCAAGGAAAGGACAAAGACGCGACGGCAGCGAGTCACCACAACCTGCACCAATGTCAACAGTGCTAAGATTCTGGTCCTCGCTCTCCATCCACCACTCCGGGGTCGCATATCCGACGCCCCAGGAATCGTTCCCAAATCCACTCTCCATCGAGTTCCCGGCTGAGGCAGGGCATGGGGTCGTCTTGCCCTGCCTCGCTGCCCACTTGCCATCCTAACCCTGACATCATGCAGCTCGCTTGCTCCAGCAGTGTGCGGCTGACGGGGCCTCGGCCCTTCAGTGCCACCCCTTCCCGTCATGGGAGGTCTCGTGCCCCATGCCCCCGGATCTACGCCGAGGATGGCGCTGCCGCCAAGAAGGTCGCGGAGAAGAAGCCAGAGTCGAAGAAGCCCTTTAGCCCGCCCACCCTCGACCCCGACACGCCGTCTCCCACTTTCGGGGGAAGCACGGGTGCGCGTGGTGGTTGGCCGTGACGCCGGCAGCACGAGGACGCGGGGTTCGATCTCGCATGGCTCCTCCGCTCCTCTCCGCCTGATCTCATCGCAATCGGGAGAGAGACGCGGTGACTTAGGTTTCACGATCTCGCCACCTCTCCTGCCAGGTGGCCTGCTCCGCAAGGCTCAGGTGGAGGAGTTCCATGTGATCACCTGGAACTCCAAGAAGGAGCAGGTGTTCGAGATGCCCACAGCAGGCGCGGCCATCATGCGTGAGGGCCCCAACCTTCTGAAGCTGTCCCGTAAGGAGCAGTGCCTGGCGCTCCTCACCCAGCTGCGCACCAAGTTCAAGATCGACGGCGCCATCTACCGTGTCTTCCCCAACGGCGAGACCCAGTACCTGCACCCCAAGGTGCATTGGGCTGTGCAGAGGTTGGCTGTGGGTGCCGGGCTTGCAACGATGGCAGGCGCTTATGTGGGGAGGCATCTGCCTGTTATGTGGCGGGCATGAGCACGTGAGCTGTGCACTTGAGTTGCATGGACTGCCACACCGGCATTGTCTGTGAGGTCAGCATGCCATACTTTGCGACACTGGTCTGGGTGGCTGGTCTCCTGCTAAACCCGGCTCCTCGGTACCCTCTTCCCAAGGATGGCGTGTACCCCGAGAAGGTCAACCCTGGCCGCAAGGAGGTGAACGCCGTCTTCAGGCGAATTGGGTCCAACACCAACCCCGCAAAGGTCAAGTTCACCGGCAAGGTAGGATTATGGACGCCCCGGGGATCGACTGTTCTGGGTGGCCGGGTGTGCTCATGGGGATCGCTCGCTTTGGGTTTGTGTGGAAGGACGGGAGGGCGCGCAGCTGACCTTGTTCGGGGAGTGCTCTTCCTGTAGAGCAATCATCCTGGTCCAGTCTGTACTGGCATGCACGGCCCCCCAGGGCTGTCTTTTGTCGTGCTTTATGTTGACCTTCCCGCTTTCTTGCAGCCGACGTACGAGGTGGAGGCATAGGGGGCAGTGAGTTATCAGGAACAGGGTGGAGCCTGTAAGGGGATGCATCTCAGCGGCTCAAGCCGAGGACATCTGAGGCCGGAACCTCCACAGTTTCTACTCTCTCCCTGTATGATGAGCAGCTGCACGACCCTTTGTCGAGAAGAATATGTGTACCGAGGATGTGGTGCTGTCAACAACACAACACTGCGAGGAAGGGGGCCAGGGGCATGTTTGTACAGGGGCGTGCACCGCCAGGCATCTGCATGGTGCCGAGTCACCAGCATGTCAGAGGCAGCTGCTATTGGGGAAAGGGCTTGGGATACCCGGGGTTTGTTGTGCATGCTTATCGTGCATGTGGCACAGGGCAGCAGCAAGCCGGGTCTGGTCAGGGAAGGCTTCCTGGGGTCCTTGAGATGGGCTTTGCCACATCCAGTCCCCTGCACGCCTCGACCCCGGGCCCTGGGGCCCGTCCACCTACCCCTCCTCCCCAAACTCGGTTGTGAACTTCTTGTACGTCTCCAGGTCGTCCTGAGACACTGTCGGCCGCGCCCTGAGCAGCACCTTTTCGAAATCCCGGAACGTGATCTTGGGAGGGTGCACCTGGCGGGGGAGGAGAGCAGCGGAGGTGCCTGGGTGTCCTGAGGCAGGTGCGTCGGTGCCGTCAGGCCACTGATGTCAGCCGGTGGGACCTTTCGTGACGGCCGATGAAGTGCAAACCGAGCAGGTCCTGCTGCACGACCTGCAAGGACACCCCTGCAAGGCCCAGCCCCAATTTCACCACAGTCTCACCAGCTGCGCCTGGCCCTTGTCTGCCAAGCTCTGGAGCGTGGCCGGGAAGGCGCCGGGCTCACCCGCAGAGCAGGGCTCCAGCATCACCTTGCCCCCTTCTTGTACCTTCTTGAAGTGCGTCGCGTCCTGGAACACGGGTGTGGGAAGGGGATGGAGTGGCGATGGGAGGGGCAGACTTGCAGGGAACCCCAGCGATGCATTGCTGGCAACACCGGTGCCGCAGGCTGGTCGCAGAAGTAGACGCTTCACTTCATCCCCTTTGACACTCCTGTGCACTGCACAAGTCCAGGACCTCTCAAGCCTCCCACCCGCCTCAACCCCAACTCTGTCACCACAAACCTGCGTCTTGCGGACGGGCTGCATGAGCACGTCCTTGACCACGATGGCGACGTCGGAGCCGGAGAAGCCCTTGGTCCGCTCCCCCAGGTCGTCAAACTCGCGCTGAGTCAGCGCGTTGGGCGTGTCCCCCAGGTGGATGCGGAACATGGAGGCCCGGGCCGGCGCCTCGGGGAGCGGGATGTGGATGCGCTTGTCGAAGCGGCGCCGCACTGCCTGGTCCAGGGAGTAGGGCAGGTTGGTGGCGCCCAGCATCAGTACCTGCGGGGGGAAAGGAGGGGGGGGGGGGGGTTGAGGGTGGAAAGGCGGACCTTGGATTTTGTATAGATTTAAAAGGGAGCAAGGAGGTCGAGCAGGCTAAGAAATGTGGGTGGATGAACGCTCCGGGGCAGGGCAGGGGGCCACCGCAAAGCCCTCTCCAATCCACACCCCCCTCAGCAGACAGGCTACTCCTGTGGTCCCCAAAGCTTACCTCAAGACCACACCAGAACCCTCTCCCTTGTTCAGTACATTTCCATCCCCACCCCGACGCACAACACGGTCACAGCGCCGTCCCCGCCCCGCATCCCCGCACCCGCTTCTTGTCGTCGCCGTGGCCTACGCCCTGCATCTGCACCAGGAACTCGGTCTTGATGCGGCGCGCGGCCTCGCTCTCTCCCTCACCCCGCGAGCTGCACAGCGCATCGATCTCGTCGATGAAGATGATGGCGGGCGCCTTCTCGCGCGCCAGCGCAAACAAGCTGGACACCAGCTTCTCCGACTCGCCCATCCACTTGGACACCAGGTCGGAGGAGGAGACGGAGAAGAAGGTGGAGTCGGCCTCCGTGGCCACCGCCTTGGCCAGGTAGGACTTGCCGGTACCGGGGGGACCGTACAGCAGGATGCCGCTCCAGGGCTTGCGCTTGCCGGTGAAGAACTGGGGGAACTTGACGGGGAGGATGACCGCCTCCTTCAGCGCATCCTTGGCGGACTCCAGCCCCGCCACGTCGTCCCACTGTGGGGCGTGATGCGGAAGGGTGTGTGTGAGATGGAGGGAGGGAGATGAAAAGCACCCTAGCCGGAGGGCTGGTCAGGAGGCAGGTCCAGCATCCTCACCCCACCCTAAAGACCACTGATTGCATGGTCTTCACCAACTGACAACATACCAGATGGCATGGCCAGACCTTAGGCATCCCTGCATGCCTACTATGCACCGTAACGACTCCGCCACCCCACCTTGACATTGGGTTTCTCCTCCAGGATCGCGTTACCGAGGGAGCTCTTCAGCTTCTCCAAGTCGTCCTACAGGTGAGAGCATTTGGAGAGAGGGAAGTTCTATACAGCTCCACCTTGATGATAATGCTCTGGTGCCATGTTCATTGCTCCAGTGGCGGCACGAGGGCTGCCTGCGACTTCACAGCGGCAGTGTACACGACGCGTACCTCTTTGCCGGCAGCCGCACCGGGTTTCTTCACCCCAGCGGCAGCTTGGGAGCCTCCCACTCCGGCATCGCCAGATGGGTCCTCCGGGGTTTGCCCATCCAGCACAGCCCTCAGGTACTCAGCACGCGCAATGTAGTCCCGAACCTAGTAGTAGAAGATAGGCAGAATTCTTAATCTGTCGATGATGTGCTGGCAGGTGCTAGCGCTGATCGACATGTTTTGACATTAGGTCTGGTTGTGGTGAGCCTTGAAGTCTCATAATGACTCCAAATAGAGGGCTGACTGGCTATCGCATGCCTCCTGAGAGCGATGGCCTGGACAGCTGCTTGTGTCAGGCAGCTCTCCCTTAAGCACCCCTCAACTCAGCGCAGATCCCGCATGCCGTGTCACCACCAAGGAGAGCTTACCTTCACTGTGATGGCACTCTTTGCACTGGGATTCTTCTCGTATTTCAGATGGGTGGTGAAGTAGTCCAGGGAGGCCATGTACAACTGGAAGGCCTTCTGATAGTTTCCGGCATTGTCCTCCTCTGTCGCCTGTTTGACCAGCTCTGTGGGAGCAGTGGGGCATGGCTAAGATGTGCATAATGCCAAGAGTAGAATCACAGGGACAACGACGGTCAACCCCAGGGGTCAAGCCCTTTTCCCGTTCCCACCCTCACACCTACCTATTGCCTTCTCCTTGAAGTTGCTGTACATGCCTGAGACGCAAGGGGCGATTACTCGAGCAGATCCTTCAGCGAGCACCTACTGGAGTACCATTTATTGAAGGTGACAGCGAAACCGTGCTGGATGGGGACAGGTGGCCGAGGACCCACGCTGTTCGTAGGGGAGTGATCCCGTAGTCAGTGGGTGCAAGGTTTGGGCAGTCGGTTGCGGGTGAATGCCACAAGACCGCGCCCCAGATTGATTTTACGCGACTTGTGAGGGATGCATGGTGCCGAATGACCTTGTCAGGCCATTGACATGGCGAACGCGTCGGGACCTGCGGTCGGAGGGTGAGCCGAGCGCGCCCTGGAATTCAGGTCTGTGACATGACACCTGCATCAATTGTAAAGTCTGATTCCACTGTTCCCTCAGTGGCTGGGCTTGGTTTTTGAATATTCCTGGTTCATGAACATGGAGGATTATACGCCATTCGTGCTGAGAGCAGAGCTTCGAGGTCACACCGAGGACGTAAGTGATCGCAGGACGAATATTGCGTGCCCCTGTCCTATGCTCATCTGAACCTTTGCTCCCATGCAGATACGAGTGATATGCGTGTGCGATCTGGGAATCCTCACCGGCTCCAGGGACAAGACCATCAAGCTTTGGGTGGAGGGCGACGATGGGGAGTACACAGAGGCATCAATGTTTGTGAGTCTCCAGGGCTTGTCGGAAGGTCATGGGAGCCGGCTGCGGCGCATGACAAGCTATTCTGTCTGAAGTGTGCGGTTGCATTCCTGGCAGCACGAGCAACATCCCCTGATTCCTCCCGAATGCAGGTGGGACACACCGACTTTGTGTCTGCACTGGCCTTTGCTCCTGCCTCCTCGATCCACCCCGACGGCCTTGTGGTGTCCGGAGCCCGGGATGCCACTGTGCGCCTGTGGAATCCGGTTCGTTTCACTGAGCTGCAAATCCTGGAGGGACACAAGTACCAGGTGGGAGGGGGGAAGATGGGTGTGCAGGCCGGGCAGCTGGGGACGCCTGCACTCGCATCGCAGCTGGCTCATTCTTCGCATTACAGCTGTTATTTTGCAGACCTGCGTCCTCATCTTCTTCTCCCTCAGCCTCTGCTCTTGCCTCGGCTCTGACTGATCCTGCGCCCTCACACTCTCACACTTCTCCCTCCTGTTGCGGGTGACTGGCGTGGTCATCCTGGACGAGGCGACAATCGTGTCGTCCTCCCTGGACTCCACCCTGCGCATCTGGCGCGCAGGGGTCTGCCAGCAGGTGCTGACCGGCCACACCGGCCCCGTGCTCTGCACGCTGCGAGTGCCCCGTGGGGATGTGTGGTCCGGGTCGGGGGACGACAGCATCCGAGTCTGGCGGGAGGGAACGTGCGTGGACGTGATCCCCGCCCACGCCGACACCGTCAGGTGGGGTCGTGCTCATGGAGGCTCGGGCGGGGGATTCGCATGTGACATCCCCATTGGGTCTGTGGATGGTGTCGTGCGCTCCCATGCTCGGGCTGAGGTTGCCCACCCTGTGGAGCTCGTGCGAATCAAATGCCACCCGACTCCCCCTCCCTCACATCCCCCTGCACCAGGCACCTCGCCTTCGTCCCCGGCAGCGGTCAGGCCGTCTCCGCGTCCCACGACACCACCCTCAAGGTGTGGGACGTGGAGGCCAGGGCCTGCACGTCCCAGCTCTGGGGCCACTCCTCCCTGGTGTACGCTGCCGCGGCGACGCCCGGGGGCCTGCTGGCCTCCGGCTCCGAGGACAACACCTCGCGCCTGTGGCACCTGGGGGGCGGCCCCAGCCTCCAGGTGGGCTGGGGGGGGTTGGGGTGGCAGGCATGGGCAGGGCATGGGTGCACGTCTGGGTTCTGTGAAAACCCCTCACCCGGAGCCCCGGCGAGCCCAGTCTGACACATGCCCTCGGCTCGCCACATGGGCGCAGACCCTGCCACACCCTGGCTGTGTGTGGACGGTTGATTTCCTGCCGGACAGCGACCTGGTCACGGGGTGCGCGGACGGCGTGGCGCGCCTGTTCACGCAGGACTCCTCACGGGCGGCGGGGGCCGAGGCGGTGCAGGTGCGCCGCTCGGTCTGGAGGTGGGGGAGGGCGGGTCCTGGGAGAAGCCTGCGTGCTGCAGTGCCCGTGGAAATGGGGCGCCATCGTGTGGCCCAGTCAGGGGTGCTGCGTGGAGGCGTCAGCATCTCTGGGCATCCCACCGTCGGCGCTTCCTTCTCACACGGCGCATGCCATCGCCCCCCTGATTCCCTCATTCTCCCATTGCCAGGTGTTTGAGGCCACGCTGGCGGCTGCAGCCGAGGTGGCGGCAGCCAAGGAGGGCGCCGGGGAGGGCGGCGCCGCTGCGGGCCTCAAGCTGGAGGACCCCTCTGTGCTGCGGGAGCCGGGGACGCACCCGGGTCAAACGAGGGTGGTGCGTGAGGGGGGCACCGGCATGGCATACAGCTGGAATGCGGCCAGGTGCGGCGGTGGGGTGGTGGAGGGGGGAGGTGGGAGGGAGGGGGTGAGCATGGGTGGTGAAGAGGACATGTGCTGGGTGGACCATCGGAGTGTGGGGAGAGCCAGGCGAGGGGCAGGCTGGGGGAGTCGGGGTGTGGAGTGGCGCTGGCGGCCTGCAGGCGCTGCCCCGACTTGCAAGGCTCGACGGGCCGAGGGGTAAACCAGTGCTCTTCCCTTCCCTTGCCGTCACCGAGCCTTGTGCCTGTGCAACCCTCCATCCCCCCAGCCAAAGCTGGGACGTGGTGGGCGAAGTGGTGGGCGGGCCTGGGGGCGGCGAGGACACGCTGGCGCCGGCGGGAAGCCGCGTCGTGGGCGGCCGCACCTGGGACTACGTCTTCGACGTGGACGTGGAGGACGGCTCGCCGCCTCGGCGGCTGCCGGTGGACGCGGGCGAGAACCCCTACGTCGCGGCCGACCGCTTCCTGGCTGCCGAGGACCTGCCCACCAGCTACCGGTGGGTGGATTGTGTTGTCATGTGCCTGCATGTTGTTGGGATCACCCCAAAGTGGCCTCTGCGAATCCTCCTGCTCCCCATCTTCCTTCTGCCAGTGGTGTCGAGGTGCTGAGCGCAGAGTGGCTGTCGCATGGCGTCCCGTGACTGAGTGGATCCTGCTCCACCAACCTCGCCCATGCAGGGAGCAGATCGTGTCCTTCATCCTCCAAAACACGCCATCGGGGCAATCCTTACCTGGAGCGTCGTCGGGGCACGCGGGCGATCCGTTCACGGGGGCAAACGCGTACGTCCCGGGTGCCCCCTCCGCTGCACCCCCGATGCGCCCCTCACCGGGCCTTACCAGCGTGGTGGGCGGGGGCCCCGATCCCTTCACTGGCTCCGCCGCGACCCCCGGCCTCATCCCCGCAGCACGCTACCTGGTCTTCGATGCCCTGCCCGACCCGGCGGCCGTCGCGCGCAAGCTGGGCCAGCTGGCGCCGGGGGTCCCCGCGCCCGTCGACGCCGCGCGTGTCGAGGCACTGGCGGCCGCCCTCTGCGCCCCCACCGCGGCCGCGCCCAGCGCCGCGCAGGCCGAGACGCTGGCCCAGCTGCTGGCGTACCCGGCCGCCGCCCTCTTCCCCGCCCTCGACCTGGCGAGGGTGGCGGTCGCACGGAAAGCAGGCGGCCCCATCGCCCAGCTGGACCTGGGCCCGACGATGGCCGGCGCGGGCGACGCCGCGCCGGGGACGATCTGCGCGGCCCTTTGGCGCGCGCTGCAGCGCGACGCCCCGGCGCCCACGCGCCTCACCGCCGCGCGGCTCGTTGCCAATCTGTACGCCGAGCCGGAGACGCGCGAGTGGGCGCGGGCGGGCGGCGCGGCGCTGACGGCGGCGCTGGCCACGGCGCTGCCGCCGGAGACCAAGGCCGCGCGCCACGCGTTAGTCACCGCGCTGCACAATGCGGTGCTGGCCCTCGTGGCCGCGGACGTGGCGGGGGGTGCCGAGGTGGGGTGATGCGTGGGAGTCTGGGGTGTGGGGGTGAGGGGTCGAATCTTTTTCATGGGAGGGGGGGGGGGGGAGTGTTGTGTGTGGGGGAAAGTGGAGAAGCTCGACCAGTCACAGACCCTTCATCATGTGAGGTGAAGGCGTGGCGTGTGGGGTGAAGAGAGGGGGGTTACCTTGGAGATGGATTGCTCAGGCAGCACCTCTAAGAACTGCAATCCTGTCCACCCTGTATTCACCCTCCACACCCCCCACCCATGCAACTGCAGATCCTGTCTGCGGCGAGCGACGTGCTGCTGAGCACGCCGGGGGAAGAAAGCGAGACACGGGTGCGTGGCCTCGTGGCCTTGGGCACCCTGCTGCACACTGTGCGGCCTCTGCGGGGGGGGGCGCGGGGCCTGGGCCTGGAGGAAGTCGCCGCGCAGCTGGGCGGCGAGGGAGGGGACGTGGGGCAGGCCGCGCGGGAACTGCGGGCCATGCTGGCGAGGTAGAGGCGGGACCTGAGCGTCCAAGTTGCCACTCGACTGGACCTAGGGAGGCGGCCCTTTGATCGGTGGGGGGCACGCGTGCAGCTCACCGACGGTTGTCCCCACTCTGCTCGTTGACCCTGCTTCCTGCCACGGCGTGCCTGGGGTCCTCCAAGCAGCCGGCAATGAAACGCCTCCATCTGCTGAAAAGTCGGAGAGACGAGTGCCGTGCCAGTGGAACCTGCCAGGGTGGGGTCCTCCAGGTCCATGATTACCAACACACAATTCAGCTGGGACGCCCCTGAGTTAGGCTGTATGGGTCGTAATTTCAGGAGATTCAGCCTTCCACGCATGGCATCGGGCCTGCGCGAGCATTTGCTGAAGCTGATGGGAGTGCAGCCAGTTAGTCATGAGAGGATCAGGGTCCCGATCACGGCGCAAGGGCCACCGCCTCAATCTCCACTTTGGCCCCCAGGGGGAGGTCGCGCACGGCGTAGGCGGCGCGCGCGGGGGGGTCGACGGGGAAGTACTTGCCGTACACGGCGTTGACCTTGGCGAAGTCGGCAATATCAGCCAGGAGGATGGTGGTCTTCACCACACGAGAGAAGGACGACCCAGCCTCCTTCAGGATGGCCTCCAGGTTCTTCATGACCTGCTCCGCCTGCTCCTCCACATCCTCGGAGTTGAAGTTCTTGGTCTGTGGAGGGGTGTGGAATGGTATGCAGGTTCAACAGAAGTCTGGGATGCGGCTTTGTGAATGAATCGGTGCGCTTCGGGGGGTTGGCATGTAGTTGGTCCCACCACATTGCACCACCTGGACCGAGACCCCCCCGCGCCCCGGAGCTGAAACCCAAAGGATGCAACTCACGCCGGGAACCAGGGGAACCTGGCCTGAGATATAGACGAATCCATTGGCCTTGATCGCCTGGGAGTACGCGCCCACCGCCCCGGGAGCATTCTCGGTGGCGATCACTTCACGAGAGACTGCAGGGGACCGAGGGTGAAGTGGTGAATATTGGGCCTTACGCAGCACCAGAGCAAGTACTTGAGACTTCTAAGCCGCTCACTGGAAGACATGGCGATGTGGCGGGGGCGAGGGGGAAATCGGTGGTTGTGGGCGATGCGCTGCGGAATAGCTCGAGTGCTGTTGGTCAGGCTCACGAAGGGCAGCGTCCGGAAGGCAAGGCTCGCCATACGATTGATCAGCTCGCACCGTCTTGGAGTGGTATATCGGATCTGGCAGGGGGAAGATAGCGGATTGGCCGCGGCTCGAGTGACAGGGGCCGTCCCGCGCCCACCGGGCCATCAAAGCTTTGTGCCATGACTGGGCCCCCGCATTCGACCCTGCCCCCCTGGCCCCTTCCCCATCGAGGCTTCATTCACTTTGTACCCCCGCCAGCAGTCCACCACATCCCCACCCATCGGCACACGCCCCTCTGCCCCTCCGGACCTGCGTCGTGATCAATCAGGGGCCGGAATTGAACTCTGCATTGCTCGAGACTGCGGCTAGGCCCGGCGACACCCGCCTCCTGTGGGCAGGATGGCGCAGGTGCTGGACATCACCTCCCTGCTGGACAGCGCACAGAGCCCCGATGCGGCCACTCGTAATGCGGCTGAGGGGCAACTGAAAGGGCTGCAGGAGTCCCAGTTCCCCTCCTTCGTGCTGTCCCTTGCCGCCGAGCTAGGCAGTGGCGATAAACCGGTCAGCTCCCGCCGCCTGGCGGGCCTGGTCCTCAAGAATGCGCTGGATGCGAAAGAAGCAAGTCGACAGGTGCGATTGGATGCCGGCCGGGATCCAGCGGCCGGGCCTGGCTGGCACTGTGCCTGGCAGCCAGATCAGATCACCCAGGCACCCCACCACGCTTATATGTCAACAGGCAGGCCTGTCGGAGCGGTGGATGTCTCTGGATGCGGGAGTGCGGTCTCAGGTCAAGCAGTCGCTCCTGGCCACCATGCACGCTGAGGTGATAATACGGGACTGGGGGGACGGGGTGAGACGGCGAGGCAAGGCTGCTTCACCTGGTTCGGTATGGAGGTGGTGTACTTTTCCTTGGGCACAATTACATTCATCTGTCACAGAATCACGATCATCTGTCCCACAATCACCGTCCTACGTCACTCCCACTCCCACTCTCCCTGGCGCACCGGGCCATTATGATGACTCATCCGATTCAACTTACCGAACCGCCCCCCATTCCTTCACCATCCCCTCCCTCTCCACTCGCCAGGTGGCGGATGCCCGGCACACCGCGGGCCTGGTCATCGCCAAGGTGGGCGCCATCGAGATCCCCGCCGGCTCCTGGCCGGAGCTGATCCCGTCGCTGCTGGCGGCGGCGGGCACCGGCACCGCCGCGCCAGGCGTGCGGCATGCCGGTCTGGAGACGCTGGGGTACGTGTGCGAGGAGCTTGGGGCGCTGGAGGAGGACTACCTGGAGCAGGGCGCGGTGAACCAGATCCTGACGGCGGTGGTGGGCGGCATGGACAAGGGCACGGCCGATGCGGAGGTGCGGCTGGCGGCCACCACCGCCCTGGGCAACGCACTGGAGTTTGCGCGCAAGAACTTTGAGTCGGAGGGCGAGCGCAGCTACATCATGCAGCGTGTGTGCGAGGGGACGGTGGCGGGGGACGCGCGCCTTCGCCACGCGGCCTGGGAGTGCCTGGTGAGCATCGCGGGGAACTACTACGAGACGCTGCCGGCCTACATGGCCGACATCTTTGCGCTCAGCCAGCGCGCCATCCGTGGCGACGAGGAGAGCGTGGCGCTGCAGGCGCTGGAGTTCTGGTGCAGCCTGTGCGAGGAGGAGGCCGCCGCGGAGGAGGAGGGCGGCGTGCTGCACGGCTTCGTGGCCGCCGCCCTGCCGCAGCTGGCCCCGCTCCTGCTGGAGCAGCTGACCAAGCAGGAGGAGGGCGAGGAGGGCGAGGAGGGCGCCTGGAACCTGGCCATGGCTGCGGGGACCTGCCTCGGACTCTGCGCGGGGGTGGTGGGCGACGCCATCGTGCCCCTCGTCATGCCCTATGTACAGGTCAGCGGGTGTCTTGTGCTTCTCCGGGGGGAGGAACATGGGGTTCGTGGGAGGGTGGGGGGTGAGGGTATCAGACCAGGCGCATCCTGAAAAAGGGGAGGTCTGCTGGGTGTTCAGTGGAAAGGGGGATAGGGGCTGTGACCGCATGGCATGGGGTGTCCCATGCCGGATCCTGGGCCAGGTGTGCAGCACTGTACACGTCCAGCCAGATCCAGCCACACCAAGCATGCCCGACTGCCTCTCCCTCCCCCGACGCATCGCGCAGGCAAACATCCAGAAGAACAGCACCCCCGAGGACTGGCGGGCCAGGGAGGCAGCGACCTTTGCCTTTGGCAGCATGCTGGAGGGCCCAAGCCCCGAGACCCTGGGGTCTCTCGTGTCCGCGGGCCTCCCCTTCCTCCTGGCGGCGCTCAAGGATGCACACCCGCAGGTCAAGAACACCACCGCCTGGACCATCGGTGAGTGCAGGGGGCCCCGGGCGGCATCCTGCTTGTCGACAGCGCGCGACAGCCCAAGCCCCTAAGGCCAGATGCCTGCACGCACCCTGCACACCCCATCCCCTGCGCGGCTCCCCATCACAGGCCGCACGCTGGAGTTTGTGCATGGCACGGGAGCCGCGCTGATCGGCCCCCAGAACCTGCCCCAGATCATCCAGGCCCTGCTGGAGGCCATCAGCGATGGGCCGCTGGTGGCCGAGAAGGTCTGCTATGCGCTCAGCCAGCTGGCGGCAGGGTTCGAAGGGGGCGCGGGCACCTCGCCCATGTCCCCCTACTTCCAGACCGTCATCCAGGCCCTCCTCCAGACGGTGCGGGTCGAGTGTGGTTGGAGGTGCCCAAGCGGGACCAGGAGTGTGCGTGGTTGGTGGGAGGGTACTGGGCGGGCTGGCATGCAGGACCCCGCCCATGGGTAGTCTGCGTGCACGTGGTGAGAGGACAGACTGCGGCTGCCCTGGTGCTGCAGGGTCGCCCCGCTCACCCCAGCAGGACCCCACGGACGCCCCCCAACCCCCTCGCACAGGCGTCCCGGACGACGGCGGACGCCGGGGAGACGGCGCGGCTGCAGACTCAGGCCTTCGAGGCCATCAACGAGGTGGTCCGCGCCTCGGCCCCCGACACCGTCCCCCTGGTGGCGCAGCTGGTGCCGCTGATGGTGGCGCGCCTGCAGGCCGCCAGCGCGCACGCCGCGCCCTCCCCCGAGGCGGTGGAGAAGCAGGGGGAGGAGCAGGCCCTGCTCTGCGGCGTGCTCCAGGTCCTGCTCCAGCGGCTCAGCGACGACGACGGCGGGCGCGCCGCGGCGGCGCAGGCCGCCGACGCGGTGGCGGGCGCGCTGCTGGGCGTCTTCGCCTGCCGCGCCGGCACCGTGCACGAGGAGGCCATGCTGGCCATGGGTGCGCTGACCTACGCCACCGGCCGCGGCTTCGGCAAGTACCTGGAGGCCTTCTTTCCGGTGCTGCACCGAGGCCTCGTCCAGCACCAGGTGGGAGGGAGATGTTGTGTGTGAGTTGGGGGGGGGTGGAACATGGATGCTGCCTGCGATCTTGCTGCAGGAGAGGCTGCCGAGCGTGGCGTTCAGGAACTTGTGTAGGTAGTCTGGATTGGTATCGTACATGTCAACACACACTCAAACATATCCCTCACATCCCCCCGGCCCCCCCCATACACACACTCAACAAACACACTGCAGGAGGTGCAGGTGTGCCAGGTCAGCGTGGGTGTGCTGGGTGACGTGTGCCGCGCGGTGGAGGAGGGGCTGGCCCCCTACGCCGACCGCGCCATGTCGGCGGTGCTGACCAACCTGGGCGACGGCGGCGTGGACCGCAGCCTGAAGCCGGCCCTGCTCTCCGCGCTGGGCGACGTGGCGCTGGCGCTGGGCGACGGCTTCGAGCCCTACCTGGGCCACGTGGCCGCGGTGCTGCAGGGCTCCATGGCGCTCAGCGCGCAGCTGGCCGGCGCGGGCGCCGGCGGCGAGGAGGAGCTGGGCGAGTACAACAACGCGCTGCGCCACGGCATACTGGAGGCCTGGGCGGGCATGCTGAACGGCCTGTCCAAGGCCAAGGCCGACGCGCACCTGCGCGCCGCGGGGCCGGCCATCCTGGACCTGATCGCGGGCATCGCGCGCGACGATGCGCACCGCGACGTCGGCGTCTGGAAGGCCGCGCTGGCCCTGCTGGGAGACGTCGCCGCCTCGCTGGCGGGGGCGGGGGCCGCTCTGCGCGACCGGCCCGCGCTCGCAGAGTTCGTGGAGGCCGCGGGCCAGGTGCCTTCTCTGGGCGAGACCGCCAACTGGACCTCTCAGGTCGTCAGCCGCGCGCTGCGCCTCGCTTGATGTGTGTGTGGGGGGGGGGGTTGTCTGTGTGTGTGAGTGTGATGGTGGTGGCGAGCAGGCGCCTCGCTCCCCGGAGACGTGCGGCCGGAGGGCGAGCCACTGCTTGGCGTCTCAGCCGACTGTACCCAGGCCTGGCGTCCAGGAAATTTGTGCGCAGCTTGGGTCTGTGGAGGGCTCGAGCCCAGAGAGGCCCCTCGACTGAGGCTCTGGATGCCCCTACTTCGCAAGCCTTGGAGTTGACACGATCCGCGGCATGCAAGGTTCCCGAAACCGCAGCACGAGGCTCCTCGTCCGCAGAGTGATCTGCAACCCGCCCCACCTCCCTCTCAACCCCTGCTGTGCTCACGCCCCCCCCACACCACACCGGCAGCTGATCATCTCCACGCATGCACGGCTGCGCCATCACTCTCCCCCCGCAAAAATGCACTGCTCTGTACGCCACCCGCTCCTTCACTGGCCGGACCCCGCTTGCGCTATTCACTGTCACCCACCCCCTGTGTGCTCTGCACCCGTGCACCTGGTGTGTTGCTGCTGCGACAGCAGAGAGGCAGAAGGGTGGACAGCAGGCACGAGGTCGAGGCAGTACTACTCGGGCCTCATTCGAGGGGCAACCCCACCGCCGCTGTCCCTCAGTCCAGGTCCCACCAGAGGCCCGTCGTCCCCGGCGGCGGCGCGGGGGCGTCGGGTGGGCGCGGCAGCACGCTTTCCAGCCGCGCCACGGCGTCGGCGGGATCGCCGCCGACCACCGACAGGATGGGCAGGGCGGCGGCCAGGTCGCGGCGCACGGCGTCGGCGTCCACCACCAGCGCGGCGCGCGCGTTGGCCTCCAGGCATGGCGCGGAGGAGCACTCCTCCGGCAGCCAGCGC